TCCCACTCAAGAACTTAAAAAAATGCTGTCATTTTTTCTTTTATTTTTTCGCTATATTCACAATTTGACACGCAGATCTTATTAACATGATATATTATTATTTAAATGAAAAATGTGATAATAAAATTTATGTGTCAAATAATAAATTTAGAGAGTAATAAAGAGAATGACAAAAAGAACAATGCTAGTATTTTTTACCTAACAAATCTGCTCTTCCTTTTTCTTTTTTTTTTTCTTTTTTTTTTTTTTCTAACTTAGATGTGAGGTTTCTCTTTTTTTTAGCATAACGAAACCAAAACTTTTCCTTGAAAAAAAAAAAAAAAAAAGCACACTGAAGATCCATAACCATTTTTTCTCGGCCCTGGCAAGCTTAAATCTTAATGATGTTAAGTGAGATTTTTTGCTAATCATGTTAAATGTAAGATTTGAAGCTTAGGATCAAATATCACAAACCAGTAACGGCTCACTATTTTTGGGATTGCATAATAATAAATCCATGAACATAAACAACCTTCTAGTCATGCATTTTTAGTGGCGGCGGAGCTATGTTTGATTCAGAGGGGGCACCTGCCCCCGCCCCCACTTGCTCAACCGGATTTCATGCAAATATACAATTTAAGATTTTATCTTCGTAACAGATTTAATACAATATTCTATGAATCCATTAATATAAAAATTATTCATAATTATTTGGTTAGGATCGATCTAAACCAGCCCATTATGTCTATGATGCAACATGCCAACTATTAAACAACTTATTAGAAACACAAGACAGCCAATCAAAAATGTCACGAAATCCCCCGCTCTTCGATGAAACTGCGCAAAGAGTTAAACAAACTTTACAACGTTACAAAGAACTTCAGGACATTATAGCTATCCTTGGGTTGAACGAATTATCCGAAGAAGATTGCTTAATCGTAGCAAGAGCACGAAAATTGAGCGTTTCCTGTCACAACTTTTTTTTTGTAGCAGAAGTATTTACCGGTTCCCCAGGGAAATATGTTGGTGAATATTTGATTCTTTTTTCAACTTATAATTGATTCACAACAATTCTTTCATTTTTCATGAAAATTAAAAGAAATACGGATTTGTGTTGTCATTAATCATTTGAAGATAGTATTTTAGTACGTATACGTATAGAGTTTTATTCTTCATCCTCCTGCTGGGGGCCCGCTATGCCAAAAGCGAGAGAAATCCCATCCCCCTCTTTCCTTTTTTACGATCCGAGGTGTGAAGTGGGAGAGAGGATTTCATAATTGGGGTTTTGAATAAGGCGACCCTTTCATTTTTTTCTTTTTCATATTCAAAAGGTAATAAGAATGAGAGGTGTTAAGCTTTTTATCATCCTGGCGTCAGAGCTATTTTTCCGCAGGACCTCTATTTCGTCCCTATTGTAAATTTCAATTTGCAATTTTTGTGTCAAAACTTTAGAAAAGTTTCAAATATACTCCAAAATTAGACTTTTGAATTTTCATATATTTATATTTCAAATTTTAAGTACCATATAACCCAAAAATAAAGCACTTATATAGATTCATAATTTTGTGAGCCATAAACTTTAAAAGTGAATTAACTTGGATTAAAATAGTTATATTGTTGTTTTAGTTAAACTTTTGGTTTTATTACGCCCTCTTTAAAAAAAAATTATGACTCTACCACTGATTTTTACTACCACTAATTTCGTCTAAAGTCGTGCAAACTTACTTGCAACCAAGATACCAATATACTGTTGAGATTTGAAAATTTACTCTGATTGCTGTCTAATTATTTGATGATTTGTACATTAGTTGTCAATTAGATATCATTCGGTTGATTGAAGAAATTTAGGAAACTCTTAGCCTAATTAGGGGAAATTATCATTAATTGATACCTTTTATTTTTTAGGAATGATCCCTATTTATAACTGTGTACAATTTTATTGTAAATTATCAGTGAATTGAATGAAAATTATACTCTTGATTCATAAACATAGGTGAATTACCGAATCACGTTAAATTTTGTGTTAGTTTCTTTTATCTTTTGTTTTCTCTTATTTATTATAATTTTTAATTTGATATCAGAGCCGGCAACTATGCTGAAATTCGCTGCCAAACCACCGTGTCTGAAGAGCTGCGCTTCCGAACCCAACCAATAAATCCAACGGTCTTGACGAACTCAGTCAACGAACCCAAATGTTCACAAGAGTAGCGCCGTCTTCTATCCTTTTATTGTTCTTTCGTTTATTTGCTCCTTATTCATACAAAGGAAGCCTAAAATTTCCTTTTATTCTTCTCCACGTGTGTTCATTTAGAGAAAAACAAAAGGAAAAAAAATGCAAAGAAGGAAAAAAAAGATAATAGAAAAGAGAAGAAGGGAACGTGTAGAAGAAGAAAGAAAATAAAAAAAGAAAAAACTAATTGATTGAATAGAAAAAGGAATTGTATTGAGGAGGAAAAAAAAAGAAAAAAACTTTAAAAAAAAAAAAAGATAATTAAAAAAATTGTTGTGAGGTTTGAAATTTATTTTTTAGAAAATTGAAACTTGTGTTGTGAAGCTTATATTAGTGTGAACCTAGTATGTGAAGCTTTTAAAATTGAAATTTGTGCTGTGAAGCTCATGTTGATGTGAGCCTGGCATGTGAAGATCAATATGCTGTGAAACTCATGTAAATTTGAGTTTGATGTGTGAGATTTTCAAAGTTGTTCTTGAAGATTAAAGAAAGTTAAACCTCATTGAAGATCTGCCCAGAGCTTTGTTTCCAAGTTGGTGCTTTGGAATCTGATGATTGTTTCTGAATTTAGAAAAAAATTAGCATCAACTTGAGTTGGTATGTTGGAGTCCGATGATTGTTTCCAAATTTAGAGGATTTGTTTCCTCATTGAAGCTTTATTTCAAAGTTGGTATGCACCAACTTGAAGGAAAATATTGAGATTTGTTAATTATTTTGATTGCTTTATAATTATTTGATGATTTGTACATTAGTTGTTAATTAGATGTCATTAGGTTGATTGAAGAAATTTAGGAAACTTACCCTAATTGGAGGAAATTATCATTAATTGATACCTTTTATTTTTTGGAAATGATTCCTATTTATATATGTGTACAACCTCATTGTAAATTTATCAGTGAATGGAATGAAAATCATACTCATAATCTATGGACGTAGACGAATTGCAGACTCATATTAAATTTTGTGTTCTTTTTTTCTATCTTTTGTTTTCTCTTATTTATTATTATTTTTAAGTTATACTTCTTATAGACAAATGAAAAAGAAAAAAATACCAATATAAATTTTTAGTATTTCGACTGGTTCTTAAGCACTACCATGCCATGCTTATATTTTTTTTTTCAGTGACTGCGCAAGTCGCTTCTTTTCCTAAATTATCTAAATACATGTACTATTCCCATCTCAAAAAAGGGACGAAATGACCCTTCTACCCAAAGTAGTTTTTTTACATTTATTTTTATGCTTTTATGTTTTCTATATCAATGAAAAATGACATTATAAGGATAAAGAGTAATGTTCTCAGAGAATACCGGGGAAGACGATGTATATCACTTGGTGACTCGAGGTCTCGTTCAGTTCATTAATTCGAGTTTTTAGTTTGAGTTGAGATGTGATGTTATGTGAGAGCTTTAAATTGTAACAGAAAAAATTAAATGTGATTTTTTATGAGAATTTTTAACTATAATAAAATTAAAATTGAAAACTTATATCAGTAAAATAAATAAAACGTCACTCACAGAATGATCATATCTGCGTTGATGTGATTGTTTTGAGCACAAGATTTTACATACTACACACTCAGGACGCATTAAAAGATAGAAAGTTAAAGGTGAGAAGGTGAAACAGAAAGCTCAAGGCTTCTTTTCCGTTCTTGACAAAAAATAAATAATAAAAATAAAAAACCTCAATTGTTTTCCCGGCTAAAACTAATAAGTGGTCATATGGTCAACTTAAATTACTCTCTTATAAAAAAAATGATGAATAAGAAAAATTGATATTGATTAGGGAAATTCCAAGTTGTTAAACCTGTTTTTTTTTTTTTCCTAGCAAATATCATAATTTAAAATAGTAAAAGCATGGAGTATATTTTAAAATTTCAATGTGTTGTGTTCTAATTTTATGCTTATCTTCTTGCTCTTTTCAAACTTTATGTTCTTTATTTTTATTAGAACCCCAAATTATATTATTTTCTTCATTCTCCCAAAAAATTATGGATTGAAATGTAAATTTAAGAATAAAAAAATATTTTGGCCCCATTCATTTCATCGATTCGAGTTTAAAATTCGAGTTTTGCTACAATAAAAAGCTCTCAGAAACAGTCATATCTAACTTTTTTTACTACAGTAAAAAGCTCTCACATAAAGTCACATCTCAACTCGAATTAAAAACTCGAATCAGCGAACTAAACGGGTAACTTCTTAACTTTTAAAATATATATTTTGGCCCTTTTATTTTTAAAATTATATTTTAATCCTTTAATTTTTAAAAATTATACTTTGACCTATTAACTTTTTGAAAAATTACATTCTAACTCAATCTTTTAAAAACCTTGCATATATGCTCGTGGTAAGTAATCGATTTATTAGGTAAATCAATCATTTACAAGTTATTCTTGCAATCCTTTAGTTACAAGCCAAGAATTTAGTTTATTTAGTAAATAACAATTTTATTTGGTAAATCATTTTTTACCCATTAAAGCATGGTAATGTACTCGGTAAATCCATTATTTATCAATTAAAAGCACGATAAATAATGAATTTACTCGATAAATACTTATTTACAACCTAAAAAAAGTGATTCTGGTATATAAAAGATTTACTAATTAGGTATGGGTAGATGCTTTATTTTCCAGTCAATAGTTATAGCTTATGTGGTAAATAAAGTAAATTCTTTATTTACCAGCCAATAGGTATATTTTT